TTTCTCTGTGTCTGGCATATATGCGTTTGTGTAGGTATGTGCACGTGTGTACTCAAGTATACAGCCGTGGAAGCCAGCTGTCTAAGGTTTGGCATCTTATTCTATCGCCCTCAACATTATTTTTTTGAGATAGGGTCTTTCACTGAACCAACTTGGCTAGATTGTCTGGCTAGTTTATTCTTGGGATCCACCCACCTGCCTCTTCTTGCCCTTAGCACTGGAGTTACACATACTCCTGAGCCCAGACTTTCCCATGGTGCTAGGGATCCAAACTCAGATTTTTACGGCTGCCAGCAGGTACTTTACAGACCCAAGCATCTTCCTGGTACCTTATTTTATTGTTTCTTCCTAAATTTTCATTCACTTAGATAATATAAAATCCCAGACTTGTTATGCAGCTAAGAACAACTTCAATATTCTGCTCCTCAGGCCTCCAAATCCCAAGTGCTAAGGACTGAACCCATGTCTGTCACACATGCTAGTAGAGAGCACGCTATCGGCCTAACTGTGTCCTTAGTCCCGAGTCCCCACCTTTGTGTACACACATACACACATATACACACACATATATGTATTATATATGTGTATATAAAACACACATATATGATATGTTTATATAAGATATATATAAATGTATATTATATATACTATATATTAAGATGTTTTACACACATACACACACACACAGCTTTCAGGACTTGGTTTTCTCCTACCATGAGGATGGTTCCTGGGATGGAACTCAGGTTATCAGACTGTGTTGCAAGTGCCTTTTACCTGTTGAGCCATCTTGCCAGTTCCAGCTTTGTTCTTTGGAGACAGTTCTCATGTAGTCCGGACAGACAGGCCTTGAACTTGCTGTGTAGCTCTGATCTTGAACTTCTAGCTCTGAGTCTGTACCTTCCTAGCTCTAGTACCAACTTTTGTCTTAGGGTTTTACGGCTGTGAACAGACACCATGACTAAGGCAACTTTTTTTTTTAATTATCTTTAATCTTTTTTTACAGTCCAGTCGTTATCCCCCTTCTCCTGTCTCCAAGAGGATGTCCCCATACCCCCACACCACCCTGCCAGGCCTCTCTACTCCCTGGGGCCTCAAGTTCTCTCAATGAGGTCAGACCAGGCAGTCCTCTGATGTATATGTGTCAGGGGCCTCAGACCAATCTTGTATGCTGCCTGGCCATGGCAATTCTTATAAGTATTACATTTAATTGGAGCTGGCTTAAAGGTTAAGAGGTTCAGTCCATCATTATCAAGGCAGGAACATGAAAGAGTCCAGGCAGGCATGGCGTAGGAGGAGCTGAGAGTTCTACATCTTCATCTGAAGGTTGCTAGAAGACTGACTTCCAGGAAGCTAGGATAAGGGTCTTAAAGCCCACATCTTCAGTGACACACCTACAAGGCCACACCTACTCTAACATATCCAAATAGTGCCACTCTCTGGCCCCCATAGGCTTGTTCAAACACATGAGTCTATGGGGGCCATACCTAGCTATTGCATAACAAGAAAAGTATATTTAGTCCAACTTCCAAAGTCCACACAGTCTATAGCAGTCTCAACAGTGTCAAAAGTCCAAAGTTCAAAGTCTCTTCTGAGATTCATCCAATCTCTTAACTGTAATCCCCAAAGCAAGACAGGAAACCAGCTGGACAAACTCCAAACTCTGCATCTCCATGGCTGATGTCAAGGAGGTCTTCAGATCTCTACTCCTTTCTCATCTTTGTCGACTGCAACAAACTTCTTTCTCCTGGGCTGCCACTCCTGTTAGCAGCTTTTCCTCAGCTCATGGCTCTTACATCTCAAACATCTTGGGGTCTCCAAGGCAGCTTTAATGTTCCAGCTTCTTCTTCCAGTGTCTGGGATCCACACATAATCTTCTGGGCTCCTCCAAAGGGCTTGGGTCACATCTTCAGCTCTGCCCTCTGTAGCTCAGGTTGATCCACTCCACTGCTGCTACTGTTCTTGGTGATCATCCCATGGTACTGTCATCTCCAATAATCCTGGGTCTTCTGCTACAACTAGAATTCACCTATATCCTCTTAAAGGCTCTCTTCATGGTGCCAAGCTTCAACTTCTTTGCATGGCCCCTTCAGTCCTGGGCCGTCAACTGAGGCTGCACTTTCACCGATGGCCTTTCCTGCCCTCTCACAGTCCCAAGCCTTCATGATCCCTTCATTTCTTCAAAACCAGTACCACCTGGGTGACTCTTATATTACCAAGTCCAGCTGCAGCACAAGGTACAACCTTGGCTATCTCTGGAACACAGCTTCTTTGTGCTCTCAGAAACCACATCCCAGAAAATTTCACCTCAGTAATGCTGGCCTCTTCTTAATCACAGCTAATTTCTTAGCTCCAGCCAACCAGCATCAATTGTCCCAGTAGTCCCTTCTATTCTTGACTGTAAAGCCAGAGCCACAGCCTGAAGCTGCTGCTTGCTGGGATGACTCCCCTTCTCCTATTACCAGCTTTCCATTTTCCAACTCCCTCACTTCATAAGCTTGCCAGTCTGAAACTTGCTCTGTACGTTGTCCTTGAACTCAGAGATCTGCATGGCTCTGTCTCCTGGGATTAATGATGTTTACCACCAAGCCTGGACTTAAACTTACTGTTGAGCTTGGAGAAGCCTCTGGCTATACAGATAATGTGAGGATCATTTAGACTATTAGGTATCTCCAGGCCTGGTTATGGGAGCCTGGGGGGTCCCTGGCTGTAAGGGGTCGTTTTAAACTACTAGCTACCACCAGTCCTGGTTGTGAAATCTTGATATAGTCTGACACAATGATAACAGATTACCAGGCTATAAATAAATCACTTCTAGTTCTCAGCTTTCTCAGTGGAACAACAGGTTTTGGGTTGTTGATTTTGTTTGTTTGTTTGTTTTACATCTTTCCCATTGGAAAGGCAATTCTATGTGCTTAACGTTCCTGGAGGAGATCTGTGGGCACAAGGACTTCATGCTATACTCCCAACAGGGTCTCAGGCTTGCAACAGTCTGTAACTCTAGTTCCAGGGAATCCAATGGCCGCTTCTAGTCTCTGGCAGTACCAGGCGTGTACAACAGTGCACAGACATACAGTTAGACAAAACAACCATACTCATTAAATACAAACATAAATAATTTAAAATGCACACACACACACACACACACACACACACACACACACACACACATTTACTTCTAGGCTCTGCCCCACAGCACAGTTATCTGGCAACAGGTATGCCTGACTCACTATAAAAGGGGCTGTTTGCCCCTCCTCTCTCTCTTCCTCTCTTTCCTCTCTGTCCCTTCTGCCTCCCCTCCATCTCCACTTGTACATGGCTGGCCTCTACTTCTCTTCTCTCTCCCCCCTACCACCCAGCCTCCCTCTTTCTCTGTCTCTACTCTCTCAACTCCCCTCCCCATGCCCTAAATAAACTCTATTCCATACTATATCTGTCCTATGGCTGATACCTGGGGGGAAGGGATGTCTCAGCATGGGGCCACAGAGGCACCCCCTTCCACCTCACCGTATCCTGCCCTACCAAACATATTCCCGGTTCCTTCCTTCTTTCTTTCTTTCTTTCTTTCTTTCTTTCTTTCTTTCTTTTTTTTTTTTAATAAAACACAACAACAGTGCTCACCCATTATTCCAGCACTTGAGAGGCTGAGGCAGGAGGATTACCCCAAATTTGGAAGGCTTATTAGGGCTATTACAGTAAGATCTCAACTCAACTCAACTCAAAAAAAAAAAAAAGCAAAGAAAATTCATGTATAAGTGTTTCTCCTTTTTTACTAAATAGTGGCACAATTGGTATACTTTTATTTGCTTAACATTTCGATTGTGTTCATTTTTCTTTCTTTGTGTGTGTGTGTGTTCATTTTTCTTAAAGTAATACTTTCTTAAAGTCTGATCCTTCAGGCTTCATCTTCCTTTGTCTCTATGGTGTGTGTGTGTATACAGGTCTGATAACAATCTACAGGAGTGACTGTCCTGTTCCTCAGGTGCTGTCCATGTTGGTTTATAAGACCAGGTCTCTCAGTTTTCAGGGCTAGTAAATCCTAGGATCTGTCTCCCCAGCTCTGGGATTACAAATCTATGCTACCACTCCCGTTTTTTCTTTCTTTTTTTTCCTTGAGAGAGAGGGTCTCAGTTGATTCAGTTACTTCTGGCGAAGGTTTTTGTGCAGAGGAGAGAGCGCTCGCGCGCTAAGTTGCCTGGATTGAACCGCAGCATTCTTCACAGGATTTTTTAAAAAGCATACTAAAATACTTAAAACTGCAACACAGTCGGTATCATTGCGTGCATTCACACCGGACAACTATCACCACTATCCATCTCCCCAACTTTTACCATTCCATACAGAAACTCTGTACCCTGGAATCTTCCTTGGATTTTTAACCCGACTAGGTTAAACGGAAGGCGAACTTGTGCCTGCAGCCTTGGGCTCCAGGCACATTCCTCCTTCCCAGCGGATTGGCCGAGTGACTAAACAGGCTTTGGGTTTAGCGCTCCGCCCTCACCTATTGTCCCCCTAGAGGAACCGGTATTTCCGGATTTGAGCCTCAGACCCAGTGATCCAGGGTGAGGGCGAGGTGGGAAGGGGAGGGGAAGGGGGAAGGGGGAAGGGGAGGGGGGATGGAAACTGATCTTAAAACTTACCTTGCGCCAATACCATTACCTGTTTCTCTTCTCCAAACAAAAATCAACCCGTTCCCTCCCCTACCATATACATCCAGTGACCCACAAACACCCTTCCCGTGGCTTTTGAAGGGTGGCTGAGCTTTCCTCGCCAACACCCGAGAAAAGACTGAAAGCAGATCTGAACACGAATAAATAAACCCTGGGAATGTTTATATTCTTGAGCCAAAAGCTTAGGGCCTTGAGATGGAAGAGGTGGAAGAGTCGCTCAGTCCCTGCCCCACCGTTGGGTGGCGCCCGTGAGGCCTCCCCCTCCGCCCAACCGGACGCCCCAAAGTGGCGCGAGCCGAAGTATCTTTTTTTTTTTTTTCTGGGTCTGGAGGAAGCAGGTGATGGCCACCGCCCATCTACCCTCCCCCTAACCACACACACTCTAGATAGGCACTCTTTCCCCCGTTCTTCTAACCCTCCAAACAGGAAATAGGTTGAGTCACAACAATACCCAGGAACGGCCGGTGGCCGAGGTCACTGGCTCCCGCCTGCTGGGGCAGCCCGCGGCACTCCGCCTCCGGACAGGCGCTGCCTGCGCTGTGCCGCCCGACGCCGGGGACCGTCGCCTCCTGCGCTCTGACTCTGCTGGCTGCCGCCACCCCCCTTCTCCAGGCGAGTACCCGCCGCTCTGTCCCTCCCGGGGTAAAAGATTGCTCTAGAGCCTTGACTCGCTGTAGGGCAGCGTGCGTGGACGCCCGCTGTCCCCTTGGGGTGGGATGTGATTTATTGAGCACTGCTTTCTGTGTACTTCCATCTCCCACCCCTGGGCAGCCTCGCTTCACCAGGGTTGACTTAGGGTCACCCGGGACCTGAGTTTACGCCGCTGCTACAGGTGCCTGGCTCCTCCTTGTCCTTCCAGGCGGGGACAATGTTTCACTGCCGCGGAGCGTCTCTTCTGTTAGATTCAGAGGGCCTTTGGGTTTCTGTTGAAAGCGATGGTATCTAAGGGATGGATGGTCTGGATGGACGCGGCGGAGGAAGGCTGGTGACTGAGTGCAGGTGGGGGCGATCCGGGTGACCGTGGATCTGCCCCCTCCCCCGCCGCAGATAGGAAAAACTGCCTCACCACTTTGTGAAACATTTCATTTGGGGTTGTGCTTGTGTGTGTATTTGGGGGTCGTTCGTCTCATTTATAAAGGGGGAGCCGAGTTGTCAACACACAGGGCGTTGTCAGCTCTCTAGGGCTGCTTTCCGCGGCTTTTCTATGGGACTCTCAGTCAAAGCCGACTTGGAGATCTTTATGTTGGAAAACGGCCACCGAATGCCAAGCATTCTCCGAGCTTGAAAAGGGTGTTTTCCAGACTGCTGCAGTGTGCCAGAGGCTTTCTGAGCTACCGTCTCTTAGTTATCCACCGCGCCTTCCCAGACCCACAGGTGTGAGTGTTCTGTTGAAAGGATCCTCTGGCCTCTAAAAGTTTTCCAACTTGCCTAATTCATCTCAAAGCCCAGTTTCCTGGTAAGGAGAGAGGGATTCTGGGACATTGCCTGGGGGCCTCTTGAATACCCAGGTTTCAGGCCACACCCTAGACCTGCTACCCCTGGGATCTATTTGCACTTTGACCTTTGGGAACCTTTGGCCCAAGAAAAGTGGCGGTGCCCAGCAAAGACATGAATCACGTCGCACCCCCACCCAGCCTTAAATCTGAATGTTATTTTAAAAGTGGAGACAGTACAACCACAGTGGACCTACCCACTCCGCTCCAGGGCGATTGCCTCTTTATTGAGGTTTGAAAGCATTTGGCTAGCGTATAAGCTTGCAGGCTTCTGTTGTTGTTTGTTTCTGCACTTAAAAATGTTTCTTAAAATCATACCGAACGTGGAATTGAGCATTTTAACCTTCCTAAATGTACAGATAGATGGCATCAAATACCCTCAGTTTTCTTCAGGGGACAGAGAATCCTGACTAGGAATGTAATAAAAGTAGAGTCAAATTGGCAGACTAGACCTAGCAAACGTTCCAGCATTCCTGAGTAGCCAAGGTAGGGTAGCTGCAGAATTCTGATATGTGCTTTCCATTAATGAGGATAAAAGAGGAGGAGTTTTGTTTGTTTTGTTTGAGCTGCAATGGAATGGAGTCACCTAGGGAGGGGGGTCAGCCTGCACCAATTAACTTAAGTATAGATTCGTACAATCTCTAATTCCTCATCCCCTTGGTACTAAGAAGTGAATCTGCACTTTAAAAAAAAATTACTTTTTATAGCAGAGCTTGGTGGTGCTCACCTTAAGTCTCAGCGCTCAGAAGACAGAGCAGGATGAATTCTCTGAGTACCAGGCCACCATGGTTACTAGCAAACTCTAGGCTAGCCATGGCTACACAGTGAGACCCTGTCTCAAAAATACCAAAACAAACAACAAAACCTTTTGGCTTGTTTATTGGATGTGTGCAAGAGTGTGAGTGTGTGTGTGCAGGCGCACATGCCAGGGTGCTGCCGTGGAGGTTAGAGGACAGCTTTGTGGAGTCTGTTTTCTACCTTGTTTTTCTACCTTGTGGGTCCTGGGGATAGGAGGGGGCCTTAGACTTGGCTGCAAGCCCCTCTACTGCATGAGTCTTCACTCCTACCCTCGACCTACCTCCCCCCACCACCTGTGTGTGTGTGAGTGTGTGCGCTGTATGCACAGGCATGTGGCTTCCTTAGTAGCTTTCTACCTTATGTATTGAGGCAATGTCTCGTTCTGACTTTACCCCAGAGTTTGATGATTTGCTAGTCCAGCTAGCCAGCTTGCTCTGAGGAGCCCTGTCTTAGCTTCCCAGCTGAGACTACAGTCTGGCCTCTACGTCTACCCCGCAGTTACTGTCGTCCACAAGTAAAATTTGAGTGATAAGTGCTTTACCCACTGAGCCGTCTCCCCAGTCTTACCCCTTTCTTTTTTAAAAAATATTTTATTGTTTATGGATGTTTTGCCTGCCTAATAGTCTGTGTGCTGTGGTCTGTCTAGTGTTCTTGGAGGCCAGAAGAGGACATTGTATTCATTAAAATTGAGGTTATGAACACTGGGTTTTTGGGAATCAAACCTGGGTCCTCTGGAAGAGCAGCCAGTGCTCTTAAGCACTGGGACATCTCTCCAACACGCCCCCTCCCCTTCATTTAACTGACTCTAAGTTTTGAAAGTAGTCTGAATGCACTTTAAGAAAAAGGTTCTCTCTCTCTGCAAATATTGGCGCCACAGCAAGACTTGAGGGGGCCAAAAAAAGATATTTGAAATAAAAATTCAAAATATTTCAGCCTGTTTCGGTTTGCTTGTTTGTTTTTGTTTTTTCAAGACAAATTTTCTCTGTGTAGTCCTGGCTGTCCTGGAACTCATTCTGTAGACCAGGCTGGCCTCGAACTCAGAAATCCACCTGCTTCTGCCTACCAAGTGCTGGGATTAAAGTCGTGTGCCACCACTGCCTGGCTGTTTTGTTTTTAAAAAATATTTTTATACGATTTATTTTCTGTTTGACTATGTGCCCGATGAGACCAGAAGAGGGCGTCAGATCCCCTGGAACTGTAGATTCAGCTGTGAGCTGACTAAGGACTCTGCTGGGAACCGAACCTTATAGAGTTCTGCACTTAACCTCTGAGCTCCAATCCCTTACTTTTCTTTTAATGTGCAGTGTGAGGGTCTGGTAGCACCATCCACAGTTATAAGGATGTTTCTATAGCTTAGGAAATTGTTATAGTGATGAGTTGTTTTCATTTGTTAAAAGGTTCAGCTCAGAGTTTGAAGGCACATTTCCCGTGAGAACATAAAAGTGAACAGGTCTCAGAAGTCATTGTGATAGATCACGAACATGACACAGCAGACGGCGGGGGGGGGGGCCGGGGGCGGGAGGCAACAATGCTGGGCACTTTAATAAATAACTGCCTAGTGGCAGGTCCTTCATACCGGCTCCTTCTTTTCTTCCTTAAGACTCATGACTGATTGTGTTGGGACTTTCATCTGAAGGAGGTAAGCACACTGAGGAAGGAGTTTACAGCTTCCTTTGATTGAAAAGCCCCTTTGAAATTGTTGACAATAACTCAGCCAAGATCTAGCAAGAAAGTCCATCCGTTCCTCCACCCAACCCCCGATTCAGGAGATTCCTGCATTCACAGAGTTCCAAACCGCTAATTCTTTATACTTCTAGCAAGGCTAAGTGGAGTGGAGTTTCCCTCCTCTCTTAGAATGTCTTTTAAAATACACTGTAGTTTCATGTTTTATTTAGTGACAAATGCTGTTTTGTTTGCAGTCCACAGAGAGGGGGGGAAATCTTTAGGAAACAACTGAGGAATAATCTTATTAAAAATGAAAACCTGCCAACTCTTTGGCTCACCAAATCAGTGTTTTATATTGGAATCTGTAGGTTTAGGCACCTGTAGTGGTTCTGTTATATAAACAGGTTTGGGAGTTAACTTGGATAAATGTACATGCACGCATACTTGAATGGACATTTAAACTAAGATACTGTTTTAAACTTTATTATTTTATTAATTTTTATGTATGGACCTTTTGCCCACGTATATGTCTGTGCACCACACCAATTTAGTGCCCTCAGAGGTCAGAAGAGGGCATGTGGTGCACAGACATTACATTTGAACAAAACACCCATACAAAAAGCATAGAACAACAGCAACAATAGTAAAGATTTAAAAAATCAGTCTGGGTTTGCTAATTCTAATCAGCACTTTTCTTCTTCTTTTTTCTTTCCTTCATTTTTCATGACAGAGTCTCTCTTTATAACTCTGGCTGTCCTGGGACTCAATTCTATAGACCAGGCTAGTGTTGAACTCATAGATATCCTCCTGCCTCTGCTTCCCAAGTGCTGGGGTTAAAGGCATCCAAACCACCACCATGCCAGGCCCCTCTTTCTTTTTCTAGATGAATGCCTCTTGATACTGGTCTTCATGGAGATTTGGAATACTAGTTTCTCCATAGGAAAGATTAAGGTATTTTGATTTAGTGTTAGTAAACACTTGGTGTATGATCGTTGTAAACCAGATATTTCTGAATATATTGTGACCCAGTCTTAACAATAACCTCAGAGGTCTCTCCACCTCCTTCCTGCAAACCCTCTCCAGCTCTCCCTCCAGCCCCCTCTCCAGCCCGATCTCCAGCTCCCTCTCCAGTCCTCCTCCAGCCCTTCCCCTCCCTCCTCTCATTTAACAGAACAGAAATTGAGGTCACCCTGATCTCCTTGCTTGAAACTATGGCTCCCCTCGTCATCCATCCGTATCAAATCAGGAGTGCTTGGTTGCCTGCTCCCACTCACTGCCAGGAAGCCAGATACCCATTCATTCTTCACTTGAGTCTTCTGGAATATCAGGTTCTGCACTTTGAATGCACTGAAGTCAATGGAAAGAAATGAATCAAAATGCCAAAGGAGCAGAAGGTTATTTTGTTGGTGCTTCAGATTTCTGATGACAGCTTATGCTTGGCTTGACTGTGGTGTTAGTGTAGTCAGACTAGCGCCTGACAAGCCAACTCCGGGAATACTTATTACTCACATGGATGGATAGTGTTATTCTTCCATGCCAACCTGAATGTACTATCTGGTACTCTAAAATGCAGTCTCGCAGCACATAGCTGGATGAGGCGGCACACGTCCGTCTATGAGAGTCTATTTGCTATGCATACAATGTTCTGCTTGCATG